AAGCACAAGTGGCAGCACAGCAAAAGGCAAGATGAAATATAAGGCAAAGAATACCATGACCTACATCTGGAGAGGTAGAGGGCACGTGTACGCCACATTTGGAAGTTTGGACATTATTATATGTGCCACGGAAACCCTCCCGTGGAAGAATGACGTTAATAATATTGTCAGATTTGCATACATGACGTCAATCTTCTATCAATGTGAAAGATGCAGACAGGCACCAGGGAGGCCATCTGGGTGTCTTAAATATGTGTTTGTTGGAGGAGGTAAGGAGGGTGGGTTTGGGAAAGACTGGCTATTTACTGTAGCTGAAGCATGGGACACTTAGTGAGGAGGTAGAGGTGTCTAGCTTAAAGAAGATGGGTCACAACTGTAGAGGCCTTATATGCCACAGGAAGGAGTTTGACATTATCCCAGATGAATGGATGAGAGGAAACACGAAAATGAACAGTTACAGAGCACATACTGTGTACCAGACTGTTGCTAGTTAATTAGTGTGAATTCTCTTCATCTGCATGAGAGACCCAGGATGCAGACACCATTAGCCCACTTTACAGATGAAGAAACCAAGAGACTCAGAAAGAAAGAATGAATTTTCTAAGGCCACACAGCTAGTAACCATCACAACTATAATGCAAACCAAGGACTATCTAGATTTAAATACCTGCTCTTTCCAAAATACCTCACTGTCACCATAGTTTTGAAAAACATAAAAGCATATGACAATCCTAAAATGTAGATTTTCATCCAAATTGCATGCAGGAGTCAGGAGGACCAATATGAAGGTTACTGCAATGATCCAGGCGAGCAACAATGGTACTAAAGATGGTGAGATGTGATCCTGTTCTGAATATATTTTGTAGGTAGAGCTGAGAGGATTTGTGAATAAATTGGATATGGGGTGAAAGAAACAAGAACAATCAAGGATGGCTCCAAAACTGGGGGCCTTAGCAACCAAAAGTTTGTACTGCATTAACTGAGATGGGAGAGATTGTGGGAGAAGTAGATTTGGGGGGACATCAGGTGCTCAGGTATTAAATCAACTAAGATGTCTGCTAGACTTCAAGTCTACCGGTCAATGCCAAACAAGCATGTGGACATAAGGAACTGATACTCCAGGGAGTTTTTGTTTAAATGTGTGTGTGTGTGTGTTTGTGTGTGTGTGTGTGTGTGTTTTCCTTTCATATAAATGGGATCACACTTCACATACTGTCTTAACAACAGATTTGCTTATAGATACAAAATGAATGAATGAAGCAATCAATCAGTGTACACTTACAAAGAGAGATGTCTGGATAAAGTTTTAATAATAGGGATCTCTAAGTGGTAAGATGGTGTGTGGCATGTATTTTGGGTTCTTCACTGCATTTTTTGAATTTTTTACAGTGAACATTGGATTGTCCTTCCAAATACAGTAACACGATTTTCAAAGGATGTTAGAGGAAATTTATTTTACATATAATAAATCCCAAAAGTGAATATGTCCTCCAACACAGAAAGTATACAATAACTACACCTTAGCACTTGTCTTCTGTTTCACACAAAGAGCTAAAATGAGTATGTACTGACATGAGTTTTAAACATTATGAATAACTCAATTTCACGTCATTTTGACGGGACCAGATGCCCTTTTGTATATTGATGATACTAGCTGAGCTCGAGACTGTCTGTGGAGTAGGAGTATATGTGTATTTTATATGTAAGCTTATACAAATATGTGTGTCTGCAATCTGTATTAGGACTTGGCAGGTGCCTTCCTCACCAGTGCTATAAGACTCCTTGCAAAAGAACCCTGCCTTTTAATGAGTTTACCATTAAAAAAAAATGGGACACTGCCTGGTTCCACAGTGTTAAATGAAAATAACATTGAGTTGAGTTAATCTGATTGCATAGGATCTATTTTCCCCCTTGCTGCAAATCAGAGCAGTTTTCAGCTAACAAGAATGGGTGCCCTACTTGAACGGGCAGGGGTACTGCTGCTAGTCAGAGCAGCATTTAGCATGGCATTGCCATCATTACATCCCCAGGTTCGAGGCAATGAAACTCCAGGAGCGGCAAAGTCAAATCAGTTCAATTGTCTGATTGTTCATACTCATAAAGTGGGGAAGCTGGCAGGGGTCCGGCATAAAACTTGGAGTTCTGCACTGGAGCTCCTTTAAGGTAATTCATTGCCCTCTGCAGTAGCTTAAATCAGAAGGGCCAGCACAGTCACAGTAAATGCAGTTCCCCACACTGCTTGAGAGCAATATCGCAGATAGCCGGCTGCTATGCCAGATGTCAAAGGTGCACTAAAAGCACTTGTTTTTGATCTACCCCATTCCCGAGAAGTACAATGGATGGGCCTTTAAGCACTGCCATAAAAAAAGATTGTGATTAATGAAGCAGCACAACTTAATAAACCAAGTTGACTCCCGCTTCCTTCTCCTAGGCATTTTCACTGTCCACAAAGCCGTTCTTTTACTTAGCAGCAGGGACATGTAAAATGTTAATCATCAATCTGTGGGCCATTAAAGAAGTTGCTTTCCCTTTCTCAACTTGAAAACCAAGGGGGAATGATAATAGGTTTGGTTAACAGAGCCATTCACATAATGGAGATGTGTGGAGGAAAGCTTTGATAGAGTCAGCGTGGGAGCCTTGAGCACTAATCCATCCTGCTCTCTGGGACCAGGAGTTCAGAGCCTAGCTGAGGCTGGGAGCCTCAGGATGGAGACTGGGGGGAATGTCTTGATCTGGCTGGACCAACAGGAGGTTACTGCATCTGAGTGAGGCCCAAAATAAGATGAGAAGGCATGGAAGCTTTCTGTGCCAGAAGAGCTGGACAAGGGCTGTAGGTATTGCCTGACCTTATCTGGCCTTTTTCCTCACAGAACAGAGGACCACAGCAGCCTTCCCAGGTAGGCAATGGCTGTGTTCCCTCCACCAGGTAAACTCTGGGTCATCCTCCGTGACCAACAGAACCGTCCCTTGCCCAGAGAGCAACAGAGTTTTCAGCGAATTCACCAAAACCCAATGAAATACTTTCTTTGCTGGAGTCAAAGGTATATCAGTCAGAGATACACAACTTAAAATTTTACTCATGGTTTAGGAATTGCTTTGGCAGGGGCAGGAGTCAGAGACACAGGGATCGGGCACATGGTCCACAAATGTTTGATATAGTCAATCAGTTAATTTTGGCAGGAAAAAGAAAAACTACTGGAAGACGGTATCAGGACATTTTGAAATGTCCATGGTTAGGAAAGGTGATGCTAAAATTAAGAACAGTTCACTGCATCTCTTTTCACTCCTTTAGGGAAACTCTTGGTCTTGTCTTGCCTTGATAAAGAAAGCTTAGACTGCAAGCCTGAGGAGATGCCTCCAGCTCCTAGAGAGAGTCTGTGTCTGATGACCCCAATGAGAGGAGGGCCGAGAGCCCATGGCATTTTGAGAAACTCTATCTGGTCAGCAAAGTGCTATTTCCCTGCTAGAACCTTTACCTTTCAGATTGAGAAAACTTCCATCAGCCATATCACAGATAATAATGATATTATTGGTGATATGAAGTGAATCTGGAAGGTATGAACAGTTAGAGCCCTTCCCAAAAAACCCTTAGAGCCAATTCTACTGATTGTAATCACTCACTGAACTCTGAAGTTCCTGTGGGCAGTGTCCACATCACAGTCAGTTCTAAGGCCAAGCAGGTTATACTCAGTGGATGGTTAATAAATGTCTGCTGAATTAATTAATTAACCCGGAATTGATTATGTTCAAAGCATTTCCTAACTTCCCTAGCCTGCATAATAAAACTCATTTGCTAAAATTACATGAAAGGCTTTTATCAAATTTACCCATCTTTCTCAGCTTTATCTCATGCTACCTCCTACTATATCCCAATATGTACCTAGTTTCTAGGTATCCCAATACCTAGAGACTAGCTATACAACTATTCACCATTCCCCAAACATCTCTCCCAGCTGCTGTTCCCTCCACCAGGTAAACTCTGTGTCATTCTCTGTGAAGCCTTCCCTTCCCTCTTGAGAAAGGGAGTCCCTCTTTCACTGGAATTCAAAAGCATTTTGCAAACGCCCCAAGTCTAGCTTCTGGTGCAGTGAGGTTGTTTTACATGTCTGCCTTCTCACAGACCTGTGAGTACCCACCTTCCTAATCATGGCAAACACTAGGCACTTACTGAGTCTTAGTTAAGTCAATAAATCAATGACTGAACCAGTAAAGTAATGGAGCAGACACTGGGGATTTACCCCAAAATCACATGTTCTGTCTAGTCCACCTATGCTCTGTCAGCCATGGCTCTAGGGGACTGAGAAATGAACAGATCATAAATTTTCACAATAGTACTCTAAAAATGTCCTCAATTTTAAAATTTGATAAAGTGAAATGTTTCATGAAAATGTTTCAATTCCCCACCCACTGCCCTTCAAGAAATGGTCCAAGATGACTCTTAAAAATCATTTTCAAGCTTATGAATCCAAGCTTTAAAGTCAGAGCAATGCTTAAGTTCTTCTACTTTGTGGGAAAAGTATATGATAATTAACTCTCTTCATAAAATTTAGTTAATTTCCCATCTCTTATGTATATCCAAGTTTTCCACCTCCATCTTAGCTCTTGCCACAGTGAAAATTTACCGTGATCATGGCCATTCAGTGTAGGAAATTAATTAACATTCTCCACAGGACCCTCATTTGTATAGTATATTAATAGGCTCCTTATGTAAATTTCTACTCTTACCTCACTGCTTATATGCCTGCTAGCTGGTTGTATGCAATTTAGAAATGAGGGCAAGAAATTTTTGATTTCACGTGATGCCGCTTAGAGGGACCGTGAGAAGGGAAATGGATGGAGGTCAAGCAGTGAGAGGAAAGTCACAATGGACATATTTTATAGCTGTCACTAAACTAACAGTGCTCAATAAAGCCAACTCTCATTCCAAGTAGATTTTACTTTTTGTGTCCAGTAGATTTTGCCATTATAAGTAAATTATAGGAAAACAAAAAGGAATATACCTGATGATACTGTGAAGATGCCTGGTGCAAGAAGATATGGAGTGTTAGTCAAAAGTGTTCCATGACCTAAACAAGGAGAACTTTGTATTAAACATTTCTGTAGAAAGAAAAAACCCCACTCTCCAAAGCCCTACCAAAGAACACCCACCTTCCAGAGCCACACTCAATCAAGTGAAAAATTGGACCAGAATAAATAATCCTCAATTTGACACATTTTGTTAGCTGTCCATCAAACCCCTTTCTCTCTTTTTCTTGGACGCACTGCTACACTGCAGCTGCTAGCCTCTTTTGCGGGTAGGCAGGACTGTGTGACTGAGTTCTAGCTGATGGGATGTGAACAAAAGGATGTGTGCCACTTCTAGGGCTGACCCATAAAACCTCCCATGTGCTCTTCCCTTTCCTGTCATTTTCTTCCCTTTCACGTCGTTTTCCCCTTGGTGCCCGTCTGTTAAAGATGATAGAACCACTTGTCAGCCTGGGTCCCAGAAAGACTGTGTGGAACAGAGAACTCAACCGCTCGCCACAGTCTGTCCTGGAATGTTAAGTGAGAAATAAATGTCTATTGTGTCAAGTCATCACATTTTTGTGCCTATTTACTGTTGTTGCCCAGCCTCCCCTAATATAGAACCATTTCAATACTAGCATTCTAGGATCAATGTCATGAACTATTAGCCTTTTGTTTGAAAAGAGAAGCAGATGGGGGAGGTTATGCATGTGTGGGGGCAGATAGTATAAGGGTAATCTCTGTACCTTTTGTTCAGTTTTGCTGTGAACCTAAAATTGGTCATTTAAAAAAGCCTATTTTTTAAAAAGAGAGAAGCATCTCCAGCTCCACCAATCCTGGGTGGGAAACTGTTTTGGCGATAAAATAAGAATATCTTCAATAATAATGATTAACAACTTCCCAGCATGACTATTGTGTGCCAGACACTGTACTAAGTGTTCCATGTACATTATCTCTAATTCTCAGACTACTCCTGCTTGGTACACATTAGGTTACACAGATGAATTTGCTCTACAACATTTAGGCACAAGAAATGGCATATTACCTTATTTTCCTAAATCTAGAGAGAGGTCCGCTCTCTGCAAAAGGATAAAAGAGTTAGTCTCATTCATATTTCGGGATTCCAAAACGTGTAAGAACAAAAGCAGTTCACTGGGTGCTTGAAAAACAGAGAAGGTCTTCTAACCTTGGCCATCAGGCCCACAGGCCCACGGGATCCATTCACAGGCAGGTGGCTCCATTTGATCCATGACTAGCATGGACATGTATTGTTCCCTGTGACTTCTCAGGCCATAGCTCTTAGTCAGTCCTGATATCCATGAACTGGCCCTTCACAAGCCCTACGCCTCTTACACAAAACACCATCATCTTCCCTGACTCCAGGAGTGAGTCTCTCTTCTCTTCTCAGGGTAGGCTTCCTCTGCCTCACGAGCTCCAAGTTCTAGCCCCCATCAATTTTCCAGATGTCTTGGTGAGAGGCTGTCATATTGGGACCTGCAACTTATGCAGTAAGCCATTACGGTCCTGAGGCAAGGGCATCCACCTACTTTCTTGGGATGGAGAATAGCAAGAAGAAAGATAAGTCGGTATATTAACGGATCATCGTACCATATTCATATGATAAGCTGGGTTGAGAGAGGTTAATCAAGTTGCCCAAGGTAACAAATTATTCAGTGGCAGAGCTTCAGTTCAAACCTAAGTCCACCTGGTTTCAGGGTTTAGAGAACTTTCTACTATTCCATGAAGCCCCTTCTGGGACAATTCAAGGCATGCCACAGGCCTAAGTGGCCTTTTATGACAACAGGAAATAATCACAAATCATCCTAAATAAAATGAAATATCTGAAAGACTCATTGAAATCCAAGTCTTACAGAGTCTTTTCACTGAAATCTCAACAGTCGCCCAAGCCTGGTATTCAAATAGCTACTTTCTGCTTATACAAACACACATATTATATACACACATACAAATAAGCAAAGCGAAATATTAAAATCATTAGTCATTAATTTGCAATATCATTTTGCAACTAGAATTCTAAAATCAGATATCTAATGAATTATCCTCTTTGAAAAGCATAGACAAGTAAATCTTATTTGACCCATATGACAGCCTTATAAAGATTTCCTAGTTAAAAACTTATTCACACACAGAAACATCCGAATATTTTTTAAGAAAACAGAGGAGAAGTTTAATACAACAAGAGAACATTATTTGCCTTAACTCAAATTCAGTCATTATTAAGAAAAATGGTGATTACTTAGAAGGCCTGAGTTCTAGTCTCTCCTCAGACAATATCGTTATATTAACTTTGAGTGAAACACAATCTCTTTAAATCTCATTATTTTCATCTATCCTTTTAGTTCTCTCTCTCTCTTTTTTTTTTCTAATTCTACATTTCTGGAAAAATAGGTACCTCACTTAGGTAAAATTAATGATGTTTCTTGGTTCATATTTGCAGCTAGTGTAGTATAAAAAGATGTAACAGAAATAGGAAGTCAGAGAAAGGAAAATGAAGAGAGAAGAAAGGAAGCAAGGAAGCATGGAAGGAAGCAAGGAAGAGAGGGAGGGAGGGAAGACGTGAGAAAAATAGTTCTCATTATCATCCGTATTTCTCAAGGCTGGTCACTTTCAGTTCTTTGGAATCAGTCTGGAATATTGCACACTTTGGGTATTCCACTCCCACTGGAAGGCCCATACCTCTGGAGAAGATGGGATGAAACAGGATGTCTTAGCCTGACACCATTAAATATGTGATTTATCTAACTCTGTTCTGATTCCACGCACTTCATGCAACCCTTTGATTATAATCCAGCTTCCAAGGCCTCCAGGGACACAGTGTGATGGTCAGACTGATAAAGGTTTTGTCGTTTGCATAGATTCTATTTCTCACTATAAATTGATAAACTGGAATGTCACTAGATGCTATCAAATAGTTAGCTGCTGTATTGACCAACAAATATCTAATTTTTTAGGAAGACATAAAAGGAGGACAGAAATGCAAGTGGAAACAGAAAAATTCATTGGTAGACACAATGCCAGACCCAAAAGAACCCACTCATCATCTTGCACTTACCTTCTGATGATGACAAGAGGAAGTGCCTCTACCATGGACTCACACTCTATGAATGGCTATTTACTGTGCAGCAAAGATTTCCTTGACAGTGACATGTACAGAGAGGACACAAGGTAACATTCCACAAATGCCAGTTTGGATTTTCTCATCCAGTGGCCTAAGTTAGGTCTGACTTCCAAATCTGTGTTTCAAACCATCATAGGGATTCACGCTCTAGTAATTCTAAGTGTGCTGGTTAGTATTGCCTAGCCATCTATGTCATTGATTTGATGGATCTTTAAATCCTGGCTCCTCCCTGGGTAGCTGATTTAATTAAGTTGCCTAACGTATAAGCAGCCTTTTCAAATCTTTGTAATGGGCATTTAGCACAATGCCTAGAACATAATGAGTGCTCAACACACATTGCCTATAATAATAATAATATTTAAAAGTTATCATTATAATCATTATCATTGCTGGGCAATGACAAATCAGTATACTGTAGACTCCTTATTTGTTTTGGAGAGCCTTGAAGACAGAAATGGATCTTATCTCATAGGTCTAACCTTAGGGTCAGGACATAACACATGGTAAAGCTCAATGAGTATTTCTTAAATAGGATATATACAGAAGTTGTACAAAACTAAGGACTGCACTGTACATCATCACCATGCCTCTCTTCCAATCCCCAGAAGCCCTTTAGCAGTAGGCAAACACCCCATGTCATGAAGCCCGGCCCATGTTTGTTTTCCTCTGTAACACTCAGGTGATCTCCAGAACACATCACTCTCTACTCTCTCAATAAAATAATTCACCAGTCCTGCCACCATCCGTGATATTCTCTGTCCTCTCCCACAGCAGATACATGCAACCAACGGTCATTCCTCCTCCTTCTCTCCATTGTTGTTGCCAGCATCTCTGCTCCCCAAGTCCCTTTCTACAAAATTCCAGGGGCAAGTAGGGAATTCCATGGCAACACACTGTAACAGTTTTCTGGGACTGCCATAACAAAGCAGCATAGACTGGGTGACTTAAACAAGAGAAATTTCTTTCCTCCAGTTCTGGAAGCTGGGAGTCCAAGATGTCAGTGTGTCTGGTTTCTTGCGAGGCCTCTCTCCTTGGCTTGGAGGTGGCTGCATTCTCTCGGTCTTCACATGATCATCACTTTCAGTGTGTCTGTGTCCTAATCTCCTCTTCTTATAAGGATATCAGTAATATTGAATCGGGGCCCACCCTAATGACCTGATTAAAACTTAATTACCTCTGTAAATACCTTATTTCCAAATACAATCATATTCCGAGGTAGTGGGGGTTAGAATTTCAACACGATTCAGCCCATAAGACACACCAAGGATTTCTTTTGGTTACCAAAGCATCCTGAGGTTCTGTGACTTCTTGCTGGTGACCAATATGATAAACAGAAAAAGATTCATTAGAAGCCAAAGTGCAATCACATGACACCAATGATGATTCCCCCAAATCCCTCCAGTGAAAGGTAATTATTATGTCCACATTTGGACAGTCATTAGCCAAAGGGTTTCTACCATAACAATTGTAAGGACTTTCTGACTAATATAGCAGGTGGAATTTCTAAAGGTTCAAAATGAAAACAAACAAACGAAAACCACTAGGGGAAGACGACAATTCTAAAGGAAGTTAGTTACTAAAAGACACTGGCAAGCCATAGGCAGAATTTTCTTATTATTAAACAGCACTACACTGACAAAATCTAAATCAGCATTAATTAAATTTTTTGTAAAACATCAACCTTTGCAAATATCAAGATTCTAAACCTGCTCTTTTTTCATTCCTAAAAATATCACCAATGATGGTGTCAGATTTGGACTTTACCTATCCTGGAAGGCTTTCTTTGGGCAGAAGGTGGCAAAAGATGTTAGCTGTGTAAACCTAAATCCATCAATAAACAAAATAAGTAGGAGACACTGTAAAATGGTGAACATCCTGATTTTGAACTACTTTAATTAAGTTTCAAAACAAAAAGGGGGCAATGAGATTTTTCCCCTTGGAAAGAGAGAAACAGCAGAAACCACTTTTGTGTTTATACTGAAACAAGTTCACTGGGCATCCTCTGTAAACATGAAATAATGGTCACATAATATGAAAAATGAAAACCCCTTATTACTTATTGAACTGGATCCCATGCTCACGAGAAGCCTTTCAAATAAGATTCTCAAAGGACCTTATAAATGCTCTCTCATTATCGTTTGCCTTTGTTTGAAAAGGTAAGGCAAGTTACCTCATCTCATTGCAGAGTTAGGGTTTAAGACAAAGGTTAAAAGAATTATATAAAGTTAAACCAAATCGGCCAATGATAGAGACCAAGGGTTGTTATCTCTTGAGGACTGAAAGTTTCTTTTTGAAAAATTAAGCAACTTAACTAATTATTTTTAGGAGAGCATTTCATTATCTGTATATCAAGGTCCAGGAAGAAAAATCACAAAATAATAACTATGCTAAATAAAAAAAATCAGTGTGGTTTCCAGAACCCTTTCTATTCTGTGTACCCATCCATGTGGCTGGAGATCTGAAATGCTATTTAAGTCTCATTTTCCTTCAGAAGCTAACCTCTGTGGAATAAAATGCTGCTAAGGGAGAAAAAAATCTTTTCTGTCATTTGACTTTAACTTATGATAAATTAGCTTCAACTAGTTTCTTAGAAAATTGCCCAAGAAATGACTACAGAAAATTAAATACCAAGACTTCAAAGAGGCAAACACACAGCCTTCAAATTCCGACCTCAGAGAATAATCCTCCCTTTCTCATGCTTTGGAGAGATGTGAGTAAAGAAATCGTACTAGGGCATGGTAATGAACCATCTTTCAAATGACTTTTCTATCAATCTTCTTTTCAAAGGGTAATAAAGTGATGATTATTTCTAGGCAGTTTCTGGGAAGTTATCATCTCATTTCAATAGTCACCAGTAAGAAGGACAGTACTTTGGTATTATCGCCACAACGATAAGGGCAAGAACTGGTTGAGAATTCAACAGACAAGGTGTAGGTTGTTAAAAGCTATTTCCTGGAAAATTAAAACAGAGAGAGATCAAAAGAATTGTGTTGGGTCTTAAGGAATTGGTAATCATTCCCTTCTAGATTAAAAATGCAAATCTGATTTATTAACTAGTGAATGAAATCCATTATCATGTGAGGGTTTTATTATTTCTTTCAACAAATAATGTTGAAAGCTTATCATGTGCCACACTTCGTGCTAGATGCCGGTGACTGATGGAGAAGGGTAACAAGCCATGGCAGGAGCATCTGTGTCATGACTTCTAGAAACTGAGTGATCCATCTCAACTAAAACAGTAACAACAAAATTTTTTTTTTTTCAATTTTTGATTAAATGGTTGGTAGGGAAGTTTTAGTCACCCGGTACTTGTTTTGCAAAGCTACAGAAAATAACAGGGTGAGGAACACCCAAAACTATATCTGATCTCATTCCCCAGAGTTGTTAGAAGTTTTAAGATGTCATGGGGCAAAAGTCACTCCAGGAATGTACAGCCCCATGGAGGGGAATACCCATGCACAGGATGCCTTCAGGAAGGACTCCCCGGAACCTGGCTGCTTCTCTGGTCCCCAGGTTCAGATTTCCATCTGTGAGATTGGCTAAGGGCTCATACAAGGATTATGCAATCCATTTTTCCTCAGAGGTTCCTAAAACCAGCCCCATCTATGTCCTTTTATTTGCCCTAATTCTCTTATTCCAGTCTGAACCTACTGCCCACTGGCAGATAGGGTATGGAATACATCTCTGGATTCAACATTTGCCCAGAAGTCAAATTTTTTAGCACTCACCAGAAATCCAAACTTGTAACAACAACCAAAAAAGAAAGAAACATGAGATATAACACTTTCTGAGGGCAAAGAAATGTTATGTTCATTGCACCCTCATTACTTACACACCACAGGGAAGGCACTTAATAAATATCTGTTGAATAAAATTAACCAAATGGATGAATTCATTCATTTGTGGTCATGAATCAAAGTCATGATTGTCACATTGGTATCTGCATGCAAGCTATCCCACAGTGACCTTTGCCCAGCAGCTGGTTCACCTTTTTAAAATGTTATTCGGGTGATTTTTCTTAAAAAGAGAGTGAGAAAATCATAACACAGAAAATTAAAATCAAAATGTGTTTTTTCAAGTTCCATTCCAGGTAACAAATATTTGACCAATGAATTAATGCTTTTAGTTTGGCTTGGATAGGCAAATTGCCTCCTTCCAATAGTTGAACACGGCTCTGAAGTGAGCATAAAGAGATCCCTTATTGATTTGCAGAATAGGATAAAGCAGTTAAGCTCTGAAAAAAGCATTAACATTTTATCCTCATTGCCAATCAAGAAATCACCCAAGTTTCCCACCTCCCACCACCCCAAAGACCAAAGTAAAAAGGCTGTAAATCAGCCCTTGCGCATCTCACAAGAGCCAGACACTATCTTTGGCAAATCAAATCCTTGGCTTTCCATCCCCCTATCCCTGGGCAACATTTCCCCAAAGTATAACCTCAGAAGGCAGGAGTGTTGATTTAAAAAGCAAGCCAGCTAATGTAAGGGCTGACGAGAAAGATAAGTTGAAAATTTCAAATCCAGGAGGTCTGTTGCTGGTAGATTCGAACGCTTTATAATGAGGAAAGGAGATTCAGGAAGAGTGGGGAGAAGATTCCCAGCCCTCCAACTCCTCCTTGTGTGAACAGTTTGTGCTTGTTCTGAGGTAGGGTGACCCTGATAAGTGCGAAAGAGGGATGACCGATCCCCCAAATATGCTGTACAGCAGGGGTCCCCGACCCCCGGGGCCACGGACCAGTAACGGTCTGCGGCCTGTCAGGAACCGGGCCGCACGGGAAGAAGTGAGCAGCAAGTGAGCAAAGTTTCATCTTCCGCTCGCCATCACTGGCATTACTGCCTGAACCATCCCCCCCATCCCCCACCCCCCACAATCGGTCCGTAGAAAACCTGTCTTCCACGAAGCCAGTCCCTCGTGCCAAAAAGGGTTGGGACCACTGCTGTACAGTGTGGCTTCCAGGGACCCTTTCTTCAGGCCACTGAAACCGATTACATGTGCTCAGGCCATACTTAAAATATACACTCCAGCACTCGTTAAAGCCACCAGAACTCTGTATTTCAACCAGGCGATTACCTGTGAAACATGTTTTCATTCAAAAACCCCATCTTTCCTCATAGGACCTGACATAAAGTAATTTAGCTTGTAACATTATATACCCAGCTTTGAAAAAGGGAGTAATACTTTAGAGGTTGGCTTAGTCAACTCTCTAACCAATAGTGTCCCTGAGCGTAAGGGAAGGGAAAACATTTCTTAATAATTTCTAGTTTTATATATCCTTGTTCCCTTAAAAAAAAAAAAAGGATGCAGGGGCGTTTGTTTTAGATTTCCCTTTCCTCTCTTCCAGAGAAACCTGAAATGCCTGGTTATCATATGATTCACTGACAATATTGAAACCCATCTAGATTTCACCAGGATGCTAACATTTTACTGGTTAGTTTGTACCGGAGCGTGCTCCAGCCTGTGCAAATACACCCTTACTCCGTTGTTTTCCTTTGTGTCGCTCTTCAAAGCCCTATGCTGCTGGAAAGGAGAGGAGGGAGTCAAGTGACTTTTTTATGTACATATATACATAAATACAATATGTGGGTGAGGTGATGAATAGTAGTGGAGGTTAGAGTCTGCACACATAGTAAGAAAATAAATTAAATTTATCTGCCTGGTTCTTTAGTGCCCAGCATTCTGCACAAGGAATGAGGTATGAAGAGCAGCATTCCTGGCTGAGTCATCTGTCTTCTTGTGCAACTTGAGGATGACGAACACACGCAAAGCACCCTGCACACAGGTCAATATCTAGGAGAAGCCATTCATCATATACCAGTGAGGTCCTTGGGGAGACATGAGGCTCAGAAGGCATGTCCCAGGAGGCCCTCAGGGTAAGGCCATCCCGGCAGAGGCTCTGACATAACCAGTGTTACATCAATCAATCTATGTTACCATAGAGTTCATAGAAGGGAGGGCAAGGGCTGTCATCTTCTTACTTCTCCCTTTCTTACAATCGTGTAAGGTCTTCTGGAGAATTATTACCCTCTTCCTCTGCTGGAGTCTCTTCAGCTGGTTCAGTTTTGATTTCAAGTCCAAAGGCGGAATTTATCCTTCCGGGGGAATAGTCATTTCTTTTTAAATCTGCAAGGAAGACAATTAAGACAGTTATAGAGAATCCTTATGAACATAATATTCACCCAGATAGATTGGACTTCAGGACTTTAGGCCAAGTGCTCAGAGAGGACTCTGCTCCCTTGGGCCACTGATATGTGAAACTCAAACCCTCAACCATGTCCAGACTACACCCCACCATGCACATGTGTGACTCTAACTCCCCAAGGCTGTGTTTACTGGGGCAGGGGAGGCAAGCTTTGGTTGCTTGACTGAATACACGGTGCCCTATAAGACATGACCTGTCCAGAGTTAAGTGAGGCCAAACTGGAAACGGCATTTTCAGTTGTTGAATGATGGCAGAGCCAGAGAGTGCAGCCAAAATGGTGGACTCGGGATATCAATGGTCAGTTTTCTGCAACAAAGCTGCACCTCAGGATTGGCTGCACCTATAAAGACTTCATCCAATTATCAGATCTTATGCTTCCTGAAGCCTCCTCCTTTAATTTCACAGGGAAATTATCAAAAGAAATCATTAATAAAGGTAACCCTTGGGGAGAAACTTATGGAGGAGAGTGACCTTTAAATGTTTGTAAACCGTTGTATGCTGTGTTGATTAAATTTGTTAACCTTAAACATGCATTCCTTGTATTATTTTTTAATGTTAAATGGGGATTATCTGGACATAAAACTAATACATATTATAGTTTAATACTAACCAACAGTAATTACATCACTTCAACCCTCACGCCAAATTTATGAGATAGGTGCTATTATCCCCAGCTTACAGATGAGAATGAGGGCCAAGGTCACAAAACTAGCAAAAAGCATTTCTGGGATGTGAGCTCAACCTATGAATCCCATGCTTTTATACTATCCTGAACTGCCTCTGTTAAAAAAAAAAAAAAAAAAGAAAAGAAAAGAAAAAAAAAGTAAAACATAAACAAAAAGAAAAATCACCCCAATCCTGTTTTCCGAGCTAAACTTTTTAAAATTCAAATTACCAAATGTTCAAGTAAATGAGGATATTTTTTTATCTCCATTTAAATGTGTTAACTAAGGTTTAGAAAGGAAGCAAGGATTAGGTCCAGAAATGGAGGAATTACTGAATTACTCAAAAGCCACCGTGGTAGGGAAAGAACGAAAGGAAGAAAGGAAGTGAGGGAGGGAGGAAATCTTAACCATACGGAAAAGCTAACTGGATGGAAGCAGTGAGTTATGCCTCAAGGCCCCCTTTCTCCTGGCTGACCAGATACAGTCCCTGATCAAGAATGAGAAGCTGCCCTGCCCAGGAAACAATGAATCAGTCCTGGGAAGAGGTCAGCGCCTGAGGATGCTGAGTTAATGGGCTGGACTCCAGCCTGCAATCACGGGATGGAGATATGTGTCAGCTCCTGCCTCCCACAGGGCCCTTACCTGGGGGCCTGGATGCCACTCAGCCCAGCCCCCTCTCCTTCCTGGGCTCCTTCTGACCAGAGGAGGCCAGTGGGCAGCTTGGCCAATGTGCTATGGACTGATCTCTTTGCCCAGTTCTTCTGGGTGGTTTGTGAGAAGGAGTCCTGGGCAGCTCCAAGAAGACATCGAGACCCCTCCTGTCTGTACTGCTCCAGTCTGATGTCCCCACCGCCACCACCCCTGGCTAATAAGCTATTTCCTACAGGAACTGGAATCTGCTCCACACCCCAGTCTTCTGCTACCTCGTGCCCACAAGGGCAACTCCTACCTCTAACTCCAACAAGATTAGAAAGTGCCTTTCTTTGTTGTAAATTTACACCTACTCCATCCCAGGTTACAATGGATATTACTGATTTCCAATTCAGGTTTTGATCATTTATGATAAGGCTGGAAGGGCTACTCAGCTTAAAAGACGTGAAATTCCATTCTAAGGACAAGTGTGGCGCAACCTTAGAAAATTAGTGAGCAAGCTGAGACAGACATAAAGCATCCCTTCTGAGATAAAAGGAAAAAATGCAGCAGAGCTGGGGCTGCCAATCTGGGGGACACAAACCTCCAGTCGCTTACTTTTATGTTAGAAATATTTTTCTGTGCTGACTCTATTAGTTTCAGAGAAAGTGTGCCATATTATCTAATCAGATTTTTAAAATATACCTTGTGATGTATGTTGAAAGTGGCAGGTTTTTATAGTGAAAAGCACTACTTTAATTGATAGCTGTTATTTCCCTCCATGCCACACCCTCTCAAGTGTCCAATGAGTAAATAAGAATAGAATAGAAACTCTGTGGGCACCACTCAAGACCCAAAGGGGAGGGGGCGGGGCAGGGAACAGAGACCTGCCTCTGTCCAATTTTGCCCCAATTAAGTAGGAGGAACTTTTCCCTTGGAGAGACTGTGACAAGTATTGGGCCCAATGTTGTTTTATCACATTTTGGCAGAACCTGAAGTAAATCCCTGTCCTTTTAATCCCTTTAGAGACTTGAAAAATTTGCAGTCAGAAAGTCAGGCCTCAACTGCGAATGAGATAAAAATGTGATTAAGATTTCCTACTCTATCCCAGGTTACAATGGATGTTGTTCAATGAGAGATTTACTTAGAGAAAAATAGAATCGTTTGGGGGCATACCCGGGAGTTTGAGCTTCCGGCAGCAGGAGTTGCAACGATGTTTTGCAATGAAGTTTCTAATTGCATCTTCCCCTAAATTGGCTGGTCCAAACACCATTCCTCTTGATCTAGAGGAAATATCAGAATATCAATTAGATCACAGCTCACAAAAAGGAGCTCAACTAGGATTCTCTGAGATACCGAACAGTATCCCATAGTAACCCAGTAAACTTGAAGGAGCCAACAAAGAACAGAGCACTTTGGGGAAGCAACAATGTTAGGTTTGCAAATTTAAAATTCAAATGCACTTCAATCTTTGTACCCAACTCCAAGACCTACTGTGAAACTCATTTCCACGCTAATCTGATAGAAAAGTGAATTTTCTATGTACCACATTAAAACAAAATACAGTGAGACCCTTTTTAATGCATATGAGGTGAGAGAATGACATTCATTACCAACTGGTCTACTAGAATACCCGAAAGGTAAGTATAAAGTAAAATAAACTTGGTATTGGAACACCCCTTCTGAAAAAATTGATATGCATTGTTTCAAACCCACATACTTTTCTGAAAATAACCAATGTCCTCAAACACAAAAGCCCGACAAAACCCGAAACCCAGTATTCATGGCTCTTTTGATAGCTACTTCTACCCTGCAAACTGCCATAGCTGGGCTCTTTGTGAAAAGATAAGACAACTAGGAGATGATGATTTTGTGGAAGTAAATCAGTATATTTTAGGCAAATTTTTAACACTCTATAATTATAATAGATCCTTAGCAGATTTTAGGATCAACGTTCATCCATTATTTGATCATTCACAACCATTATTCTTCGGCTGACACTCTACACACCAAGGAATAGAGCACACCAGAAACACTTCCAAAGAAACTTTATGAAAGCTAATATTTTAATGACATGCAGAGTGGGAAACAGCACATTTTAAAATCTGAACTCAATTACTGCTCTTAAATACCACGTCTTAAGAAAAAAGAAAAGCAAACTATCACAAAAGGAAACAATAAATTTCGCTTCTAAGGAATGCGGTTTTTCAAAAGGGATGTGGTGTAAAAATGGACTTTTCCATCTGAGTATTGAAACATTTATCTCAATTTCCACTTCCTTTTGGCAGAATAACAGTAGCTGCTCTGAAGATGTGCCAAGCTCAGAATGAGGGC